TAGAATGGGTTTGCTATCAGTGAATCTTTCAGTTCTGAATTGAATTACATACTGATTTCTTTTTTTAAATAAATAAATTTATTTATTTATTTATGGCTGCACTGGGTCTTCGTTGCTGTGCGCGGGCTTTCTCTAGTTGCGGCGAGTGGGGGTTACTCTTCGTTGTGGCGTGCGGGCTTCTCATTGTGGTGGCTTCTCTTGTTGTGGAGCATGGGCTCTAGGCACTCAGGCTTCAGTAGTTGTGCCACGTGGGCTCAGTAGTTGTGGCTCGTGGGCTCTAGAGCGCAGGCTCAGTAGTTGTGGTGCACAGGCTTAGTTGCTCCGCGGCACGTGGGATCTTCCCGGGCCAGGGCTCGAACCTGTGTCCCCTGCATTGGCAGGCAGATTCTTAACCACTGTGCCACCAGGGAAGCCCACATACTGATTTTTGAAGCTTGTAACAATCTTTAGTCTTTTGTGATCATATTTGAAACTGCCTTCACACAATTTTTTAAAGAACACAACTGTCATGAGGAAATTACAATCCCTCATGTTTGTCAATAACACAGTAACATTCTTGGGAGCTAGAGAAATATGTTGGGGTACTTTCCCCTACATTAAATGGCTGTAGAGAACCACACTTTTTGAATTCTGAGGTGTACTTTTGGGTTTTATCTTTTTTCTTCTTGCAACTAAAATGTCACTTCCTTTGGGCAGCCTTATTTAACTCTCGTAGGTAGGTTTTGTAATTCTCTGCGTTTCCTCTGATTTGGTTCATACATCTATCCTACATTTCATTACCTTGTATTTTGAGGTTCCTTTCTGTCTTATTCTCCTTAACTATAAATTATTTGAGTACTCATTTAACTCTACATCTCAAGTATTTATCACATGCCTTGACTCTTAATAAAGTGTCAAAAAAATACTTGGTATAAACAAAACGAAAAGAATGGGAGAAAATATTTGCAAACAAAGTGACCGACAACAGATTACCCTCCAAAATATACAAACAGCTCATGCAGCTCAATATCAAAAAAACAAACAACCCAATCAGAAAAACGGGCAGAAGATCTAAATAGATATTTCTCCAAGGGAGACATACAGATGGCCAAAAGGCACATGAAAAGATGCTCAACATCGCTAATTATTAGAGAAATGCAAATCAAAACTACAATGAGGTATCACCTCACACCAGTCAGAATGGCTGTCATCAAAATGTCTACAAACAATAAATGCTGAAAAGGCTGTGGAGAAAA